AGCCCTTACACTGGACAGCTCTGTCCCAAATCCCTGCAACTACATTTCCCCCCGCCCCACCCTGAGGGACTGTTTACTGAAGTCATCTGTTGCTCCTAGCCAACAGAGCAGAGTGTATAGATAGGCAATTTGGGAGGTGTGATTGCAGCTCCTATAGGCCTATATCTGAGCTAGTTAGATCAAAGCTAGTTTGAGTCACAATAGCAGTGTAGCTATGGCAGCACCGACTAGCCTCTTGCGTGTGTACCCAGGGTCTTGGATGGACCTGGATTCAGGAGACGAGCCTGTGCCACCACCGCGGCAGCTGTGACGACGCTCCTGTTATTACTCAAACTAGCTTCGATTTACCTAGATCAAAGCTGGCTTGGGTTTGTCTTCATGGGCTGTATCCGCACCTCCAGACTGCAGTGCAGACGTACCCTGAGGTAGCTGGTTCTCTTTGGGACTGTAGCGTTAAGGGCTGGATTGTTGAATTGGATCTGGTTTTGAACTAGCATCCAATGTACAGTGAGGTACCTTTGCCAGTTTGTCTTACCCAAAAGGCAGCTGCTGTGTTCAGAACAAGTTGGAGTTTCTTGGCTGTCCTTCAGAGGCTGCCCGTGGTAGAGTGAGGTACAATGTTGCAGTGTGGTGACAAAGGCCAGGTTCGTTCAAGCTAGGTCTGAATCCAAGAGGAAAGGTATCTTGGCAACCCAAAGGTGGACAAAAGCATTTCTGGTTAACGTTGCTATTTGAGATTCCAAGAATTTAGGCTGGGATTTTCAAAGGAGTCTACCAGAGTTAGATGACCAAAACCCATTGAATTTTAAGGCATTTGGGCACCTACTTCGTTTAGATTGAAATCAGTGAGATCTGGGCACCTAACTTCTTATGACTCCTTTGAAAATCACAGCCTAGACGATTGCAGTGATGGACACCCTAGAAATATATAAATGGACTGAAAAGAGAGCAGAGCTGAAGCCAGCAAAATAAAACTCTGAGATTGTTCACCTCCTTCACCGTAGGAGGAAAGCTGATCTCAGCTGACTCTGAGGTCACTGCTCCCACCAGTTCTTCAGAATGCTCCCCTCTAACCCCCCTCCTTCCCCCGCAACCAGCATTTCATACTGGCACATATTTGATCATACCTTTCTGACACTTATACACAGACAGAATGCCTGAATATAGGCTCAATTAAATCACATATATATTAGTTAAATTATAGATCATATTAGCCAGTTGTCAACTATATATTTTCACTCTAAGACAGCAAAGGAAAATTTAGAATAGCACAAGAAAAGAGAGGTGCTGCTTGGCTGGCTTAGTAATAGTTGGTTGTACTAACAGAATCGTAGCAATGAGGGATAAGAGTGACCTTTTATATCACCTAGTCCATCCTACAGCGAGTACAGAAATGTTCCCTACAGTATATTTACTAGTGCTCTGTCCTGCCTTCAATGCACTGCAAGTAGTAATTCTCATGGCTTATAAAAGGATCTGAGAGAATAACACTGCCATACATAGCAAAAGGCTTGAGAGTAAGCTGTTGAAAAACTCTATTATCAGGCAAAAGTGCTGAGGGCAAGATTATCAGTGGAGAATATACATGTTCACACACCCACAGGCTCACTTCAAATAGAGAGAGCAGCATTATTAACAGAAATAAAGACTATATTCTCTCTCACCTTGTCATCAAATCATAGTTAATATACATGCAGCTCCACATTATATACCATGAGCAAACAACTTCATAGTTACTACTTACACAAAGATGTAAGTATAGACTCATAAGTGAAGGTAAGGCAACTCCCATCTTTTCATGTACTATATATAAATATACCTGCTACTGTATTTTCCACTCCAGGCATCTGATGAAGTGGGTTCTAGCCCACAAAAGCTTATGCCCAAATAAATTTCCTTGTTGTTTTTGCTGATACAGACTAACACAGCTACCCCTCTGAAACCTGTCAGACTTCAGAGTGTGCTTCACAGTGATATTATTTCCAGAGCTGGATCCCATGCCCACTACAGTCAAGAAGTTTTTCCATATGCTTTAACGGACATTGAATCAGGCCTTAGTAAGGATCCGGTGCATAGTGAAGGCCAGTTTTTCAAAAGAGCCCAGCATCCAGTAACTCCCATAGTTGTCTCTGGGTGTTGCTGAGTATTTATGAAAAGTGGCCATATCATTTAGGTGCCTAAATGGACGCTGAGCACTTTTTTCAATCCAGCTACCTATTTAGGTGGCTAGGCAAGAACTATTCCTTGGTAAACTCTTCTGAAAATGCCACCTTCAAACTCCATGGGGCCAATTCTCAGAGTTCCTGAGCAGCCACAATTCTGATTGAAGGTAATGGAAGCTGTGGTTGCTCAACACCTCTGAATATCAGTCACTGTCTGCTTTGAGCCATACACTACAGCTATGCTTAAAGGCCTGGATTGTGGTTATCCACTGCAGACAAGAAGTTTTCAGGAGCTGCTCAAGTGCCAAACAAAAGCAAGCCAACCGTTTATTTTACTTTCGTTTATTGTAAACTGGAGTTTTGTATCAAAAGAGTACAACTGAACAGAAAGCAAACATGTCTTTCCATTATTGTACGTGAACAATAAAAAACAAGAAGTATTTTAAATGTTATTCTTCTCTAAGTGGATCCACATTACAATAGTCAGAAAATATTGTGAACTTTGCATTTTAGCATTATAGAATCCCACCAAAACAGTTTTGCAGATGTTCTAGAAAACCAGTCTCTAAATAAAATTCAGCTTTGCTTTGATGCCGATGAATGAAGTGTTATTGGTGCCACAGAGATGCCTTCATGTAAACAAAGGTTCACACTGTAACATTATAACATAGCAAGACAATTGTGTAGTTTTAGTTTCTGTTTGATAAAGTGACGTGCTTTTAATTTTTACATACATGCTCATCTGTCAGAATATGGAATAAAGATCTCTCTCAGTTAGCAAATGGTGCCAATGCATAATTCATATAGGAATAAAACTGCAGGCAATCAAATGCTATTTTCAAAGATGCTTTCAATTACTTTAGTGTAGGATCCAAATTTAGGTTTTTATTAATCCTTAGATTATTATAGATAATTTATACAGTGCCATAGGTGTGAAGCTAATTGGAATTTTGCCTAATGAAAACTGAGTGAGGGCTTCAAGTTTTGGCTCACTACCATTGTTGCGTTAGCCCTCCAGTTCATTGACAGATAATAACTAGGAGTTCAGAATCCAGCAAATTTCCATAGCCAGTTTTAGCTTGGCATCATAAAGTTGTATTACTTGAGGAGAAAAATGAAATTGACAGTGGCTACAGCTGGGCAGATAATGGAAAAATTACACATTGAATATTTTATTTAAAATGTTCATTACATTATTAAATGAATATTATTCAGCCTTTTCAACTGGCAACTTTCCATGGGTTCCAAAATTCATTCATCCTTGAGCAGATGCTGAGATGGGAGATACTGTATATAAAACATTGACTTCAGTGGCAGCTGCTGAGTGCTCAGCGGTGTTGAAAATCAGGCCACTTGTTTAGGCACCTAAGCATGGATTTAGGAGCCTAACTTTAGGCACCTATTATTGGAAATGTTGACCTGTGTATACATTAACCTAGTTCAGTCCCCAGTTACCTGTGCACAACTCCACCGAGCATAAGGAGAATTGCTCCCATGTAATTGACGGCTGGATCAACCCCACTAGAGTCATTATGCCCATTTATGCGGTTGACCTCTGAGGTGAAGCAAAGAAACAGCATAAAATAGATTAGAACAAAATCGAATAATGTTGTATCCAAATGACATTACAGGAACAATTTAAGCATACGGACAGAAGTCAATAGACCTGATTGAATATTTTACGAAATAATTAATGCAAATCTGAAATTAATTTTGATTTAGCCATGTTCTTAACCCCTTAACAATGGGCTGCCACTGCTACAGAGGGTCAGAAACAGAAGCCAGGGGAGTTGTTCACCATTTGTAAGTGCCTCAGAAGCCTGCCAGTGGGAGTGGTGGCAGTGTGGAGCACACTCAGAGTTTTGCCTCTCAATAGCCTTGTTTTTATGTCACATCTTAAAGACAGCAACATAGAGGGTGAAATCCTGACCTCAGCGAAATTAATGGGAGTTTGCCATTGACTTCACTAGGGTCAGGATTTCACCCTGGGTCCTCAGTGTTGAGGCACTGGTTCAGTAATGACTCAGCCTCAAGGGAATCACCAATGCTTTGTGTATGAGCACAATTTTGGTCCAATCCAGATTTCTTAAATGAAAGAGCAGTGACTTTACAGCCTTGCAGGAAATTAGTTCCATCCCTGGCTTTGTCTGTCTTATTTAGTGTGTGCAATTATCTATTCTGATGAGTTGTTTGGGGTTTCTGTGAATGCAATCAATTACATGCTATGAAATATCCTTAAATATTTTGAGTTTCTGTTATGCACAGTTTTATAGAGATATTATTAAAAACATACTCTCCCTCAAACAGGTCACTTTAAAGTTCATTATATTCAATTTTCTCTAAGAGCCCCTACATTGTTAAATTAATGGCCTGTTATTGGTGGTTAAATGAAGCCTTCATTGTGTTATCTATCACCTCCCATAGAATACTTCAGATGATCACAAGACCCCATTATTCTCCTGGATTTTGCTGTCTGTTTTTTTTTTTTGTTTTTTTTTTAATGTTGGCACAACTGGATAACTTTTTTCATTATCTGTGAAACCAAGTTCCAGATGTGTTCACTAACATGTAGGAGCTGCTAAGTATGAAATATTTTGTTCATGATAATACTTCAGTGATTAGATACATTTTGCAATTTTGCAATTAAAAGTACCAGAAGTCATTACATCATAGAAATGAAATAATAGGCTCATTGACTGGTTTATTAGAAAGATTTACCAAGAACATTTGACTCTGATAATGGCAATAGCTATGGTTTCCATATGGTTTAGAGCTATTTAATGCCAAATACTTCAGAGCTCTCTGAAGACTGATTTCAAGTTATTATTCTTTCCACAGGGTGAATAAATTGAAGAATAAATAATCAAAAATCCCAGTTTTGGATTTCCAAATTTCTCTTTGTCTTTCAGTATCAAACAGGGTTGGGGGAGATGGAAAAGAAATGTATTTATTTTCTGAAATATCACATGAAATATGTGTGTGTCTATGTACAAAGAACTAATTAAAATAATTTTAAAGAACATTAAATTAAAAACATTAAAACTTTTTTGCAAAAGAAATTATATCCAATTTAAATTCAGCTATGGATCCCATGTTGCATTGTATCTCACTGTATTTTTTAAAAAGGAAATTCTTATAAAAGTACTTTTAAAACTTCAATTCGTAAAATTCTTCCCTACTGATTTTCATGTTAGCTAGTTCTCTGAATGTAGTTTATTTGGGTATAATATTTCTGTGTACAGAGCATATTATGCTGAATCAAGTGTCTATCATTCATTAAAGCCCCTGTAATGTATAAACTAATCCATTACTCAAGAAGAAGAGGTCTGCTTCTATGGGATTTATCTTCATGAAATATTTGCTGCCAGAAGAAGAAACAGGTACTTTTAGCCCCATAAACAGTGGTGCCTCAAGGAATTTCAGATAGTTTCCCTTTGGATGCCATATAATTTATTCAGCTTTCCCACTAGGTTTATTTTAACCTACTCTCCACGTTATCATCTGGTTTTGATTACTTACACTAAAAAGAGAGAGAGAAAATAAGAGAAACTATCTCCAATGACTTTGAATGGTAAACATGTGAAACTGGCAATTAAATATGTAATACTGTGGCCATTATCTAGTTGCAAATGTTCATTACTGCAGTGATGAAAAAATAAAACCAACTTCACAGCCTTCTGTTAATTTGTAAGAGTTAAATATCTGTCTGTATGAGAAACAAACGCTAGCTCCATGGTTATTTGTGCATACAAAACCAACTGAAAAGCAGTATAGCAGGATGGCTTTGGCAGTATATAATAGCTCCTCATTTTACCCAGAAGTCTAGCCCAAGCACTCTAAATATTCTTCGGGTGTATTAAGGTATCTGAGCTGTCTCATGAGACATACTGAATATCTGCAGCGTGGACTACCAGTGGGCTAGCTTACAGCATTCGTGATACAACATTGGCCATGGCCGTATTTTTCACAGTTCTACAGCTGGCTCCAGGGTGGACCTAGCAAATGAATACTGGAGGTAGGTTATAACATTAAAGTTAAACATGCTATTATTCCAGCCAAATGTAAAACGTTTCCACACCAGAAAGTGCCAGTGAGACAGCAATTCTTTGGCAAGATTACAACTTAAGACAGAATGTTTTAAATGAAGATTCATGCAAATGGCATTGTTAATCTTCTTTCCCAGTTGCGAACAAGACACTTGCGGGGTTCCCAGAAAACCATGACAAAGCCACGTAAGAAAAGAGAACTTCAGTTCTCACAACTGTCCCCGCAGGGGTCATGACTAGAAAATCTGTTTTTCCCTGTATCATACTGGACTCTCTAACAATAACTTCTCAAATACTCTGTATGACAACAACCCTCTCTTTGTGTCAGTGTGAGTGTGGGATAAGACCGAGCTACGTGGCTTTTTAAGGATCAGTGTCGCTTGTGAATAATGTCTGGAATTTGTCCAGCTGGACCCATGTGCACAGATTCCAGATGATCCTGTGCAGCATGTGCTGTTGAACTCACAGAAATAGAGCCATGAAAAAGCCCACCACACCCAGAGGTCTCAAGGAAAAAAACAGTCCCCAGACTAACATTTCATAGCTGAGATTTTGTATTAGGGTTTTTTTTGCATATCTTTAAGGCAGCTCACCTGCTGTTAAGGCTATAATTGTGTGTGTGTGTGTGTATACAAAGAAATAATACAGCAGAGTGAACACTGATTCCTGTTGGACTCACTGTTGGTCACTATGTTCCAAACCCAAACAAGAGCAGAAAAGTGGCTCTGTCAGAGGTTCCTCATAGGTAACAAACCCTGTGGCAGCCCCTACACAGTCAGTGGGTTTCTCCCACCAAGGGAGAGAAACTGAAACTCAGCCATGAAACTCATCTTATTCTGACACTGTCAGACAACAGGAACCACCCTTTTCTTCATCTGATCTTTTCATCAAGGAACAACGAAAACATCTCAGAGCAAGCAAATGCTGCTGCAAATAATCTGGAATATCCAGGGAACTGTGCATGGCTTGAAACACTTTTCACCAGATGGTTCTTTCTACCATAAAATTCTTAGGGACCTATGTAGGGTGAAATCCTGGCTCCACTGACATCAATAACAAAACACCTGTTGACTTACGGTGGACTCAGGGTTTCACTCATAGGGTATGTCTACACTGCAATTAGACACCCACAGCTGATCCATGCCAGCTGACTCAGACTCATGGGGCTCAGTCTAAGGGGCTGTTAATTGCAGTGTAGGCATTTGTGCTCAGACTGCAGACTGAGCTCTGTGACCCTCCCACCTCACAGGGTTCTAAAGCCTGGGCTCTAGCCAGAGCCCAAACGTCTACACTGCAGTTCTTGAGCCCCTGAGCCCAAATCAGCTGGCATGGGCCAGCCATGGATTTTTAATGGGTAAACATGCCCATAGCACCCTATTGATTTTAAAGGATTATACCATGAAACTCCAAAATGATCTTCTCCAGGAACTGAACTATGTTTAACAAATAATATAACAAAATTAAGTATTACCTTAAATAGGCAACTCCTTGTCCAAAGCAACCACTTTCAGTCATCCCAAGGTTTCTAGTACATGGTTGTTTGATCTTTAGGCATATAGGAGTTCTAGACAACTGATTTTAGCTAACTGCTTTGGGGGTTGCTTAAAAAAGTTTCATTGTAATACTTGACACTTAGCAGTCAGTGCTTTTCATTATCAAGCAAGTACTATTATTTCCATTTACCATCTTGCAATGAATAAGATCACTGCCCACACACATGGATTTTGGAAAATCAACCATTTTCAGACTGGAAATAATGAAGTTGATGGAATCACCCAGCTGCACACTGGTGCAACACGATGCAGAATCTGGTTTACAAACATTGGCAAATATATTTTAAACACTTTGGAAAGTTTATGGCCAGGATTTTCCAAACTGGGGCCTAAATCTATATTTAGGCATCTAAATAAGTGGCCTGATTTTCAAAAGCGCTGAGCAGCTACAAGTCTTCTTGAGAAATTTAGGAGCCTAATCATAGGTTCTTATTTATTTATTTTATTTTATTTTACATTTTACACTATGTTACAAAAGAGCAAACAGGTAAAAGGCTATTTTTTCTATATTCTGAAAGTTTGGCAAGCTGAAAGCAACATTGTTTTCCCCGGGTTTCCAGGAGTTTGTAAAGTGTACAAGTAAATTTGACGATGGTCCACAAATGGTTGAAAGTAACGTCCAGTTGTGAAAAAAATAGTGGCAGTGCATAGGATTGGTGTGGTAATGCAGGAAGCTTGTTAAAACACTTTTGCCAGGGCCTACACTTCTGCTCTTAAACTGAAAGCTGGGAGCAAATTTTTTAATTCGTTTCAGGTAAAAGTGAGATGGCAAGTGTGAATTGTGAACAGCTCAAGGAAGAACAGCTGTTGGGCTGGTGTGCACAGTGAGGTCTGTCTGCTGATGAGCAGGAAAAAAATCAAAATCGGAGGGGGGTAAGAACTCCACTTGGTTACTTGAGGGAAGCCCTGCTCCAATCTTTTATGAGGAGGGAGACATGTGATGACTTGGGGAATTTGTACAATTTGAGATTATGAACTCACTGTAGGTATCTTTACCAAACTACAAACTCCATTTTGAAGTGCAGCTTCTTTGTCTTCTCTACAGTCTCTTTGCAACTATGTTGGCCTGAATTTCCAACAGGGGTAGTGCAAAAGGCCTAACAACAGAGAATCATTTAACTTTGAAGATTAGCCAGCTAAATGACAAAGAGAGGGCTACAGCCCAGGGAAAACCAGTGTTTCAAGTCTGAACTCATGGGGGAGGTTGCTTTGGTAATGAAGTCACCTGGCAGGAGTTTGTGATCATCTGAAGAGGCTGAAGGCCTGAAAGGGGGGTCTGAAAGTTATAAAAGGACAGGAGCTATTCTAGTCAAGGGGGCATTTTTCCCCAGCTCAGGATGATGGAGAAGATGAGACAGGGGATCCTGGCTATCTTCCTGAACACAGACAGTCCCCCACAGTTAGGATGTTTGTGGTTTCCTAAATAAGTCATGTTATCTTGTGCTTTTTCATTTAAGTAAATGAGCAATAATGTGTTAGACACCTATGCAAAGTGTCTGTGTGTGCCAAATGCTATACCTACCACATGGCCCCTGAATGAGTTAAACTGTAACCCAGAAGGGGCTCCTCTTTGGAGTGGAATTCTGGGAGAAGGTTAATATAAGCTATGGGAAAATCTGAAGGGTCACTATTGCTAGGCAGCTGGACAATAGGTTCTGGCCCTCTGGAAGACATGCTGGAGAGAAGGTATATACTCCAAAAGTGTGTCTCGGGACCTCAAGATAGGGCAGTGACTACGCTCCATTCAGGCTCTCGAGGCTTAAAACATCCATGCGCTCAGTGGCAGGGTTCCCTAACAGCAGTTTAGTAGGTGGCCATGATGGGGTGCTTGACTGGAACTGTGACATCAGTGTCACAACTCCTCACCAATTTCCATTTGAGATAAGGGAGTCAGGTTGAATTTAGCTGCTCTGCTCTCAATTTTGAATGATATATTCTTGGCTAGAATTACTCATCCTAAAGAATGCTTCTACAATCCTGCAGACAAGTTTGAGTTCTATATCTGAACTCACGCACTTTGAGATACTCACATGAAAGCCCTTATGTAAGCACGTTATCAAACATTATCTTATGTTACATTATTTGTTTTATTAACTAGCTGCCTTTTTCTGAAATTATACAGAAAGACTGCTCTTACTCCTGCTTTGCAAAGTTTGTCAAGTCATTCACAAACTGCATGTATGCCAGCCCATTGAACAGCCACAGACGTGTTGTTAATCAAACAAGCCTTAACATTGTGTGAAAAACTGGCATGGGATGGTTGGCCATACACAGATGGCCTTCTCTCCGTGTTGCCAGTTCAGAAATAAAAGAAAAAATGTGAGCAATAAAACTAAATATTTCCATGGTAAATTTTAACTCAGTGTGTGATAGATTATATTAAATAAGTGTCAAGTGTGTAGCTATTAGGAACCATAAGCAAACAAACACATCTAGGGACATATGCTACACAAATGCCATATGTGGAACTCTCACTATGGGGAGAAATCCTAGTCCCCGTAAGTTAATTGGAAAACTCCCATTGACTTTAATGCAGCCTGGATTTGGCCTCAAATGTATAACATACCACTTAGACTTGTTTACAACATGAGTAAACCATTTTCCATATTAGCATGCACCTAGGCTATAGAAAGCATATGACTGACATTATCAGGAGACTCTAAATAAATATCGGAATGAAATATTTCAAATCAGTTCAAATTCTATCTGTCGTCATACCAGTGCAACCCCCCTGACCTGAATAGAGTTGTACAGGTATGACTAAAATTGACTTTAACCCCAAATTCCCATTTTATAAAACTGAGCATTTTAATAAATAGGTAGGGCCCGGTTCCCTAGATATGGCACCAGGGAAGATGATCCAAGGGCAATCTGTTCCACTGTATTGATTTGTCTAAATTTTAGTATTATAATTTATTGATCATTTGTATATAACATTTGTATATATGTGTACATGGCAGTATATGTATAGGGTTGCACCAAAACATGTACAGACTGGAAACTTTTGGTGGGGTGAATAGCA